TTTTTCGCTTGTGCGGCAATTCGCCGCCGTTCTCAAATATGCAGCCCCTGCTTTATTTTTCCCCCATTTTTTTTTTTTATATTTGTGGTTTCGTGTTAAGCTCGGGTCCGCCCGCCACGCTTCGCCTCCACAACAACAAGAAAAAAAAAGAAAAGGAAAAAAAAAACAAAATAAAAAGGCAGTTCCGAGTCGCGGACTCACATCATCCCTCGGCAATGTGCCCCACACACACACGCCCAACGCACTGCCCTCGTCTTCAGCCTGCTTCCTTTTGTGCGTGCGTGCGTGTGCCGGGGCCAGGAGAGGAGCAAAGTGCGTCTCTCACTCTCGCGCACTCTCCGAGTGTAGGGGGTGGCGTGGTACCGGGGCACTGCAGCACCTCGCCTCCTCCCCCGCCGATACACACACACAAGGCTCCCGCCCACAGAATACATATATATAATCGTGTCCACGTGTGCTAATTGTTCTCCTCGATCCCCTCTTCCAATGGAGGACATTTTCAAGTTTCTCGGCCGCCCGCGTGTACGACGGATGAATCCGCTGTGACGACAATCCGCGTGATGAAACGACCAAAAGGTAGCAGGATATGATCAGTGAAGAACCGCACACGCGCACGCACATGCACACGAGCACGCACATGCACACGAGCAGAGAGAAAGAAAGAGATGCTGCATGGACACCAATTCGTCGTTGTTTCCTGTGTTTCTACCCTTTTTTATTATTTTTCTTTTTTTTTTTATTATATATATATATTTTTGTTGATTTGTTTTGTTTTCATGGTTCTCCCCTCGCCTTCATTGATTTTTCTCCTTTGATTTTGTTGTTTATCTGCCAACCCGGTTTTCTTATTACTTTTCTTTCCCACCACCCGCACACCTGCCAACCTGCCCTGCCCTGCTGTCAAGCTACACGCATCCGCAGGCTGCTCACCCCTATCAACGAGTATCCGCCGGCGGCGGCGACACGCAGGCAGAGCCAGCGCCACTCACCGTGTCACCGCTACCGGCAAGCTGCCCGCGGGCTTCGCCGCCCCACCTCCCGACACCGCGTGGCCTGCCGTCACCACCAGAGCTAGCAGCAGCAGCATTGGTATTGCCCTTGTTCCTTCCACTACCTGTGTATTGTTCCTTGTCCTTGCGGCCCCCGGGAGATGGCTGCCGCATGGAGCGAGGCAACGGCACCGGCGCACTCGCAGCCGCTCCACTGGCGCTGCTACTAGTGTTGGGGTATTGGCCGCCATCGTCGCGGTCCTTTTGGCGCCGGCCAGCCTCCTTCTTCTGCTTTTTCCGCAACACAGTCTTGGGGTCAAGAATGCATCGCTGAAAGTCCGGGTGGTTGGCGGCAAGGTTAAGGATGGGACCGGTTTGGCCGTACTGCTGCATGAAGAACGCGGCAAGGGTAAAGTCGTTGATGGCCAAAAATGTGATGAGCAACGTGCGACGTCCACGGCGACTGTTCTCTGGGTCCGCTGTGGTGTGCAGCACCTGAACAAACTCCGCCCGCTCCCGCTCCGTGAGGGACTTTTGTGGTGGGTAGTACTGGATGAAGACATCCACGTCCATGAGGTCCACCGCGGTAAAGGCGTCCCAGCCCACTAATAATGCAGAGGAAGAGGTATTGTTGTCACCGTTGCTGCCACCGCCAGCGTTGTTTGTGTTAGTCTTGGTCTCACGGAGAAACCCCATGAACGAAGACTCCTGGCGTTCCGCAGTGTCTGAGCGCAGCATGCAACACATGTAATCCGATCCCTTACTGTTTGCATCATTGTTAGTATGATACAAGCCCCATTTGGCTATAGTTTGGTGTAGGTGCTTTATCTCCTTATGGTGCGTGAGCAGCACAACACGACGGGAGTGGTACGTCTGCAACACACGTCGAAGAAGGTCTTCGCGATCCCTCTCGTCCAGGTAGAGAAGATGCACCAATTGTGTCGAGGAAGGAGGGGCTGTGCCGGAAGCCGTCGGTAGCACCGACCCCGCCGCAGAGGAGGGGCCCTGCAGGTGATAATACCGCCGATTCCTGCGGCTCAAGTGGTAGCGAATGCCCACACTCACCTTCGTCAGCGGCGCGAGACACATTAGAAGGATATTTGTCTTTTGCCGTGACGCCGTGAGGTTGTTCGTGGGGTGGCTCGAACCCGCCGCGCTGGAAGACGGTGACGCGATTGTCAACCACCGCAGAATATCCTCCAGCTGCCGTTCGCTGCTGCGACTCGCGTCCTCCACGGCGAGGGTCGTGACAGACCTGAGGAACTCCTTGCCCCACGAGTGGAGCACACGCAGTGTGGTGATCAAAACGCGTCCACCCTTCGAGGCAAACGCCACCGCGGACAACCCCTTTTCACCAGAGTCGCCCACCGCGCCCCCCACAGGCGGCGGGGGCGGCTGCCCCTCATTCGTGATCATCTGAAAGTCGATGTGGCACTGTGAGGCGAAGGCTTTCATGCTTTTCTGCAGCTGGGCAGCAAAGTCCTTGTTGCTCGCAACCACGACCGCTGTGCTGCGTGAGGGGTCCTTCGCACTCAATACACAATGTGTGGCAAAGACCGTGAGGAGTGCATGCCGCTCCGCCGTGACAGCGCGCGAGCTTGCGTTGCCGTCCGCGCCGGCAGCCCCGCCGCTGTTGGTGCTGGAGTTCGCCCCGCCCGCCGCCCGCCCGTCCACCAGAACGTCTGCGAAGTCGATCGTTGTGGTGGCCAACACGCGTGCCTGGAACGGTGTCGGCTGCACCCCCATTCGCCGCAGCGCTGCCACCAGTGTGGGATGCACGCTCAGTGCCTCAAACGATGACGGCTTCCCCATTTCCTCCCCTTCGTCACAACACTTCTCAGTTCCTGTGTGTGCTGTTATTATTGTTCCGCCGCCTGTGACCCCAATGTATCCGCTGCGCGAGGCACCGCGTGCGAGTGGGAGTGCGTGTATGTATGTGTGGTGGGAGGAGGACGAGGTGCCGTGGGAGACCAGCGGCACGACAGGCAAAAAAGAAAAAAAGTGACAAAAAAAAGTCAATAATAAACGACGCCGCTGCTGCGTGACAGAGGGACGTGGCGCGACGGCAAATTAAACAGAGAAAATAAAGAGAAAAAAAAGACACTCTAGGCGTGGGCACGACAATGATTAAAAAAAAAGAAGAAGCAGTGAGAAGGAAGCGGAGGGGTGGGGGATAAGACAGACGATAGATGCCGCATGGCACACACACACACAGACACACACAAGGCATACAGCTCAGCGAGGCTGGAAAGAAGTCTCACCCACGCTTTTCTTCTTTTTTATTGCCGCGCTTCACAAGTCGATAATAATAAACAGATGATACAGTGAGAAAACGGCGGTCACGTCACATTCACACGGCGAGCACACAACAGGAACAAAAAAGGCGGGTGTGGAACAGCGGCGTACACGACAGCGAGAAAACAGGCACCACCTCGACGTTTGGATGGGGAGCAGGCCGAGGACGCTGCCGCCTTTTATTTGGTTGTCGGTGTCTGCTGGCTCGCTTTGCCGGCGCGGCATAACCGTCAACGTCGCCCCACACATCAGTCCCTCGCCCGCATGTTTTCCTCATTTCCCCCCTGCTCCTCAATGAGTATGGAGGGGGAACGAAACGACAAGCGAGCGTCCGACTTCCCACGCCTCGGCGTGGCGGAAGCCTTAGCAGCCTCGGGCGGGGGGGAGGTGGACGAGTTGGCAGTGCGCTGCTGGAGTTGCGGACGACTCTGCAGGGACCGCTGCTGCACCGTCTGGCGCGCTGCCAACTCCATCTTCCGCAACTCAACGCTCCTGCATGTCTCCTTTACGTTCGGCACCACAGCGAGCTCCTCGCAGCGCTGCAAGGCGGCGAGCAAAACATCGCGCTCCACCACCAACTCCTCCACCTCCAGCGGGGTCTGTGGTATGGCGTGGAATAGCAGGGACAGATTGGAGAGCGTCTGCTGCAGGTGTTGATTTCGCTCCTCGAGCTCCGCATTCTCGTCTTGGAGGATGACGACAGCATCGTCCCTCTGGCGCAGCTGAAGCTCCAGCCCCTCCAGCTGCCGCAGCCGCTGCAGGATGCCGTCTAGTTGTCGCTGCAGCGCGACGCCAAGGTGGGCCTCCTCTCCGCCGTTGCTTCCGCCTGCTGGGGCGTCGTCCCCCACCGCAAGGAGGCGAGGGTGCAGCAGCTCTTCCACCGCGCGACGCACTTCCCCCTCGAGTCTCGCCAACATTGTCTCCTGCGCCCGCATGTGTTCCAGCTGCGCCTGCGCGGCCTCCCACATCCCCTGCGTCTCCGACAACGTCAGCTGCAGCTTTACCTGCGATGTCTCCTCATCGTGCAGGAGCTCCTGGGCCTTGGCGAGAGCGCGCGTCAACTGGCTCACCCGAAGCTCAGAATCGTTCAACTCCCTCTGCGCCTGCCGCAACTCGGCCTCCCTCGCAGCAAGCGTAGCAGTGAGTGTGGGAAGTGCCCCGTCAACATACGCCACACACCGCGCCCCACACGATGGTTTAGACAAAAAAGGATCCAACACCACCGCACCCGTGTGCATCTGCGTCACTTGTCCCTCCAACGTCGTCACACGTGCCGCCAACCGTTCCGCTTTTTGGGTTGCCTCCTCCTGCAGAAGCAGTGCGTCAGCCCGCTGCCGCTCCTTCGTCGCAACGTCCTGCTGAAGCCCTGTGATCGTCTTGAGCAGACGACCCAGTCCCTCACGCAACTGTTCCGCAGAGCCAATGGCGGCCTGCTGGCTGACGTGAAGCTCCTCCCGCAGCCGCACTAACTTATTCCGCAAAAACGTGTTCTGCCGCCGCAGTTTCTCCGATGTGTCCTCACGCTGTTTGCCGGCACTCAAAGCCCTGCCGGAGTCCACAACTCCCTCTTCCTGCAGTTTCGCAGAAGCTACCCTCTGATGCGTCCTGCCATCGCCGTCAGTGCTCATCTGGCGCACTTCCTCCCGTGCAGACATCACCTCCTCCTCCAGCTCCCGCACCCGACGGTCGTACAGCTGCCGCATGGCCTCCTTCAAGACCTCCAAAGACATATTCAGCGGAGTGGCCTTTGCCGCATCTGCGTCCGCCGCCGTGGCGTCTTCAGCTCTCGCATGCGTCAGGGTCTGTAGCAGTCGACTGTGCTCCTTCGACAAAATGCTAAACTTCTGCTGCAGCGACGCATACATCCCCTTCGTGTTCATGAGACTCTCCTTTATTGTGTTCCGCTCCTGCAGAACACAGGCCAATTGATGTGCCCTAAAAACCTCATCCTCACGAGCTTTCTCGTCACTGTCGATGCTGGCACCGCCAGGCACCACCAGCGGCACCGCCACTTTCCCGTGTGGAGTCGCAGTGGCTGAGCACGACGGCAGCGTCAACGACGTGCTGGCGAGCTGCACATCACGCTGCGCCCGCTCCACGAGAGCCACGAGTTCACGAAGGGCGCCGTTCCTTCCGCGCGACCACGCCGGCAGCTCCCCCTCCTCGTGCAGCTCCTTCAACGCACCTTCAGCGACAAGTCGAATTTGCTCGAGGCTCGACGACGTGACGTTCGTCAAAAACGCAAACCGCCGTTGTAATTCGGCGAAATCGCCATGTAGTTTCTGCGCATTCTCTCCGCGGCAAGGGCTTTTACTCACGCAGGGACGCTGCATTGAGGCTGCCTCCCTGCGGCCCACGCCTCGCATGCTACCTGAGGAAAGCAACAAATACTGAGGAGGAAAACGATCCCAATACTGCAGATAAAGATACCCGCTGAGCGCAGCTCAACACTCACCGTGCAGTTACAGCAGCCGCGTGTGTTCTCCTAGTGTCACCTTTCAAGCGTCAACCATGCGAAGGAAGCAGCAAAAGGTATAATAATAGAAAAAAAACACTGCGAGACAGCAACGTCAAAAAAAAAAAAACGATCCACGGGGGCAGGTCGACACAACCGCGATCGCCGCAGCCTAAACACGCAGACGGCAACTTGTTTACATGAACTTTGAACATCATACCTCGCGTGTGGCCTGCGCGCGAGGGCGCCTTGGCCCTCTCTCCGCCTTGCTCTCCCCAGTGGTGTTCTACCCTGCCGGAAAGCGATTGGCGGCGGGCGGGGTAGAACACCACTGGGGAGAGTAAGGCGGGCGGGACTGAAAAAAAAAAAAAGCCGCGTTGGCGTGGCCCAAGGGCGGACCATGCGTCGTTCGCTTAGGAAAGCTCAGGGAAACGGTGTGGGGGAAAGCATTCCATGATGAGAGAAACAAAGAAGTACG